TCAGCAGATAAATATATTTACTAAAAGACTGAGATATGTATGCAAGTTATCTTGCATACACAAACTGATAGTTTTATAGTACTCTGTGTAGAAATAAGGAGCTTGCTGAAGTCCTCTATATTTCTTGCTTGATTATTTTCGGAAGAGATTTGGGGATATACCCAGAGGTACTGAGCACTACTTATGGCTCTGTACAGGGGTCACTCCTTTGTGGTGCTTGGGGGACCATATGTAGGGTTAAGAATCAAACTGGGATCAGCCACAAGAAAGACAAGCATCTTAATCCCTGTGTTGTCTCTCTGCCCCCTGGAATTATTTATAATTAAACAGTAACAATAACTGCAGGGGACATCAAAAGTATGGGCAGTTTGTCCTGAGTTCCAGTGGAAAATGCTCATAATAAACAATGTGGAAGCCAGCCCGCCCAAACTTTTCATTTTTATTTTGCATTAACACACCGTTGTTTACAAAGTTCTTCATAATAGTGCTTTAGGTACACAGTGTTCTCTTTCCTAAAGTACAAATTGTCCCTTTTGCCAAATCTTCTCAATTTTCTCCGTAATGTCTAGTTGAGGAAATAACTAGAGCAATGGGAGCAACGTTGCAAGGAACCAATGGGTACACTTATTGAGAAATATTAATGTAAAACAAAGTACTGTGGCTTGTAGTATGAAGTATGAAGCCACTCTTGAATAGCTTCTATATTATCTTGGTTGCTTAGAATTTGAGGTTCAGTAGGAGAAAACTGCGGACCTCTGAAGGGACACTGTTCTATATAACTAAGAAAACTATTATTGTATTTATGAAAAGCCCAAATTTGCAGCATTGGAAAATATGATTAAACTTGGAAATGATTAAAATGATTAAAGAAAATTATCAAAGCCAGCCATAAATTTAAAATAAATTATTTTATTTCCTTTTCCTCCTAAAACATCAGAGTTTAACATTTTCAACCACCTGTATTATAGACTCAAGGAACTGAAAATAATTAGTTCTAAAATCTACTTCCAAAGATTTATGTTCTTATCTCTGAAAGATATTTGCATTCTTATAGTTTAGGGAGTTATAATAGTGTTTAAATTTATTATGTCAATGTATAAAACTACTATACCCCACCCCACATGACCACCAAAGCGCCCACAACCTTCCTCTACTATTACGATGTCTCTTCAAGTCTGGTTTTCTTTCCCTAGCTCATCTCCCCCTACTGAGGTGTTTTTTAAAAATATTTTTCCAAAAGGAAAAAAAAATTTCCAAAAGGGCTGAAACAGTATGAACGATTCTCAAAAAATTAGAAATTGAGCCCCATTTGACCCTGCAATACCACTCCTGTGAATATATCCCAGAGAGGCAAAATAGTATAGTTGAAGTGACATCTGCACGTGTTTGTTCATTGCAGCACTGTTTACAATAGCTAGAATTTGGGAAAAACCTGAGTGCCCGAGAACAGATGACTGGTTAAAGAAACTTTGGTACATCTACACAATGGAGTACTATGTAGCTGTTAGAAAAGATGAAGTAATGAAATTTACATACAAGTGGTACTACATAGAAAGTATCATGCTAACCTAAATGAGTCAGAAAGAGAGGGACAGGCATAGAAAGATTGCATTCATCTGGGGAACATAAAGTAACAAAATAGGAGGCTAACATCCAAGAGTGGCAGAGATTAGTACCAGGAGGTTTGTTCCATGGCTTGGAGGCCAGCCACACATGCTAGGGGAAAAGGGAGCTCAGATAGAGAAGGGAGCACCAAATAAAGTGTGTTGGGAGGATCCCCCCAGGATGAGAGAAGCATGCAGAAAGTAGACTATAGACCAAACATGATCGCCACTCAATGCCTCTTTTGCAAACCACAACACCCAAAAGGAGAGAGAGAATAAAAGGGAATGCCCTGCCACAGAGGCAGGGTGGGATGGGGGGATGGGGGCGGTGGGAGGGATACTGGGACACGTGGTGGTGGAAAATGGGCACTGGTGGAGGGATGGGTATTCGATCATTGTATAATTGAAATCCAAGCACAAAAATTTGTAAGTCTACAACTGTACCTCATGGTGTTTCACTAATAAAAAAATTTACGAAAGAAAAAAAATTTCCAAATGGTTTTTTCATTTCATTTCATCATCCTGTTATTCGTCGATTGCCTCGAGCAGGCCCCAGTAACGTCTCTTTCGTCCTAGCCCTGAGATTATATTCAAGGCTCTTTAGGAGAATGAGACCCATCATTGTTACTGGTATTTGGCATATTTGGTACGCCACGGGGAGTTTGCCAGACTCTGCCCTGTGGGCAGGCTACATTCGATAGCCTGCAAATGGTTTTATTTTTTGCTAAATGTTATATCAGTCACTGTGTTTTACAGAGTGATTTTCTTCATCATTGTCTCAGGGTCCCCTACTCAAATACCCCCTCACCCTTCCCTCCACAAATCTACAGGATATGTATGTTTGGGCCATACCTAGTATGCTCAGGAACTTCTTGATGGATGTTTCAGGGTCATGACTAACAGTGCTCAGGGAATATGCTGTGTTGGGAACTAAACCCAAGGTCTCACACAATGCAAGGCAAGTGTTTTACCACTGAGTCACAGTTTCAGCATCAGACAATTTTTAAGTGCCTGCAAGGGTAAAGTATTGGCAACCTCTAGATTGGTGTTTATATTTTATTTTATATCTTATTGATTTACAATATTGTTGGGCTGGAGCGATAGCACAGTGGGTAAGGCATTTGCCTTGCACTAGGCCAACATGGCCGACCTGGGTTCGATTCCTCCACCCTCTCAGAGAGCCTGGCAAGCTACCAAGAGTATCTTGCCCGCACGGCAAAGCCTGGCAAGCTACCGGTGATGTATTCAATATGCCAAACACAGTAACAACAAGTCTCAAAATGGATATGTTACTGGGCCCACTCGAGCAAATCGATGAACAATGAGAGGAAGTGTGACAAGTATGACAATATTGTTAATGGTTGGATTTCATGGATACAGTGTTCCAACACCACACACACCTTTCACCTACCAGAGCGTCTGTTTCCCTTGAACACTGTCTTGGTAGGTCTTTAGTTCAGTCATTATATTTGTTGGAGCATATGACCAGGGCTTCCTCAAAACACCCCTATTCAACTAACCCAAGTGTAAAGAATTGGGTAGCATTTGTACCAGATAGGTATTAGGGTAACACCCACTTACCAAGATAGAAAGTTCTTGCAGCTAATGACAATTATGTGGTTTAAAAGGCAGGTTTCCTGTTAATAAATGTAGGCACAAAAGGATCCATGACTGGCACTTTTATCAACACATTGCTTAGATACATGTCCAGAATATCCTATAGCAAGAGTGAGTGTTCGATCAGATAAAAATTACCTTCCATATCCTCATTTCCCATACCAGTACACTTTCTTTTCTTTTCTTTTTTTTCTTTTTGGGTCACACCTGGCAATGTACAGGGGTTGTTTCTGGCTCTGCATTCAGGAATTACTACTGGCAGTGCTGGGGGGCCAAATGGGGTACTGGGAATCGAACCCAGGTTTGCCGTGTGCTAGGCAAATGCTTTACCCACTGTACTATCGCTCCAGTCCCACAAGAACAATTTCTAACCCTTCCTTTTCCAGTGACATATAGTCCCTATTGCAAATATTTATCTACTTAATATACGAATATCTTTGTGTTGTGCCACACAGTGCCTCACAGTGAACAACATAATTGGTAGGTTAATATGATGGATTAAAGATAAAAGTCAAGAGGTCAGAGTAACGGATAAGTGGGTAGGGCATTTGTCTTGCACATGGCCAACCCTGGTTTGATCCCTGACCAGGAATAATTCCTGAGTGCAGAACCAGGAGTAACCCCTGAGCATCGCCAGGTATGATAAAAAAAAACCAAAATAAATAAATAAAGATAAATTCAAGTATCATATGGTCTGAATCCCCAGTTATAGATGTAATTTCTCAGGCTCAGCATTAATGTACAGATTAAAAGTAAGCCTGAGAAATTTTCAAATCACAATTAAGGAAGTATAAGAGCTGCTTTTTACTGGACTTGGACACACAGAAAAAAGTTTATTAGGAAGAGCCCTAAAAACAATTTTAGGTGAAACAAAATTCCCTTAATATAAACTCGTACATTGTAAATTGTTCATAAGTGACTTCAGTGAGTGAAAGGACTGTTTTATTTGCCTGTTTATTATGCTTTACTGCATTTGAAGGCATAGTTAAAATAATACTTACATTCATATTTATAGTATAAAAATCACTGCTCCTCCACCACCAGCAGTATTTCCAAGCCCCTCCATGACTTTCCTTTCGTCACTTTTAGTGAAGGGAATTTTTTAACATTAAATATTAAGGCACAATGACTTACACAGTTATTTGAGTTTGAGATGTACAACGTTCTAGCACCATTCAGATCAATGCTGTCAAATTCCTTACACCAATGTCCCCTGCTTTCCCCCCATCATTGACAGACACATTTTAAAATTTAATTGTTGTAGTTTGAATCTCATGCTTACAGTATTGTTGGTTTAGATATAAGCATAGACCACACATGTACACCACTGATGTGCTAGAGACTCTGACCTCTATACCTGTTACCACCTTTCATCTCTTCTTACTGCCCTGTTCAGTTTCTTTCCTTCCTATCCTTCTCATTTTCATGACTAATGGTCAAGGGTAATATGGGTACCACCCTTTTATATCATGCATTTTATTTTCTGGTTATTCTTTTGTATACCACAGTTAAGGGAGATCACCCAGTGTTCTTGAAGGACAGTTTCTAAAATCCTCTGTGAAGTACTGAGTTCCATCCCTGGCAAAGAAAAGCATAAATTAATAAAATATAACACCCCCAAAATAAAATGTGTCCAATAATGCGAGAAAGCAAAAATTCTTATTGAAAATTATCACATACAAATTAAATATATTACTCAAAAACCATTTCAAACCAGTGAGAGTTTCAAAGGAGATACTTTATTCACATGTTAGTTGTCTTTTTACGTGTACACACACACTGACACAATCTGGTCTGCATGAAAGGTTTTTCTAAATATTCTAAGGGAAATGAAAAAATTTAAAAATATATTAAATTTTCATTATTATAGACAATTACACCCACATCACTTACAAAACTACTACTGCTTCTGTCTACAGAAGTAGAATGGCATAGGAGAAAAAGTTGCAGGTAAATTCAACAGTGGTAAAACTGAGATCTCAACATGAGAAGCTGACAATATATAAATTTTTGCTGTATAATTTCTTTTTGCAAAATACAGATAAAAGTCTGTCAATGGGCACTGAATAAGAGAAAGAGGTGAATTGTTGTAGGCAATCATCACAGTATAGTGTATGGACACTAAGAAAACAGCTTAGTCCTTCTCAGGGACTAGTTTCAGAACTTTCCCAATTGCAATGGTCTTACCTTCATCCCTTAAAGTAAAACGACCCATTTGAGGAAAATCTTTGAATGTCTCAAGGCATATAATTCCTGCTGTCCTTAAACGGGCAATGCACACTTGGTCTTGTTTTATAAAACGGGGCCGTGTCTTACTTTTTTCTCCTGACTTTTTATCTATCAAGGAGATTAAGGCTGTTATCTCAACTTCTTCAACACAAGTATGAATATGCAGAACTGCATTATAACCTGGGCAGATAATGGACTTGTGCTCAATGATCATTATCTGAACATCAAATGTACGTCCAGAGTGGCATAGATTTTTTGGCTCACAAAGTATGAATCCAGGAAGAATCTCTTCTTCTTCAATTCCTTTCAGCCTGATTTTAAGGTTTTCACCCGGGGCCACATAGTCAGTCTCAGTATCATCAGAAAGTAGTCCAAGAACTTCCACATTGTGCTTGTTTGGCATCATCACAAGATGCTGGCCTTTAGAAATGGATCCTGACTCCAGTTTTCCCAGGACCACAGTGCCCATATCCTTGTATTTATCCACAATAGGCAGTCTAATTGGCCCATCAATTGATCTGCTGAAGTTTGGCATGCTGTCCAAATATGGAATAAATGGCAATCCAGTGTACCAAGGGCAGAATTCTGATTGTTCTTTAATATTTGCTCCAGTCAGTCCTGAACATGGCATAAAGTGAATATCATTTTTGGGACTGAAGCCTATTTTTTTCAAAAAGGGCAGAAGTTTTTCTTTACATTCTTCATATCTCTCATTGCTCCAGTTTACTGTGGGATCATCCATCTTATTAATAAGCACTACCAAATGCTTCACCCCTACTGTTTTTGCCAACAGAGCATGTTCTCTTGTCTGTCCACCTTTTTCAAATCCGGTTTCAAATTCTCCTTTTCTGGCAGAGATTACCAGGACAGCCAAATCAGCTTGTGATGCACCACCAATCATATTTGGAACAAAACTCTTGTGGCCAGGGGCATCTAAAATTGTGAAATGTTTCTTTTCTGTTTCAAAATACGCATGACCCACTTCTACTGTTTTACCTTTGTCTCGTTCTTCCTGATTTGTATCTAACGCCCAGGACAAATACCAAGTTTCTCTATTTTTTTCTTTAGCTTCTCTTTCATACTTTTCAAGTGTTCTTTTGTCAACCATTCCTGTCAAAAACATTATTTGTCCACCAATGGTTGACTTGCCAGCATCTACATGCCCAATGAATATCACATTTACATGTTCTTTCCTAGGGGCACCTGTCGGTACTGCCACAGATTTCTGTTTTTTCATTTTCTCCTTCTCCATCATTTCCTTTACTTTTTCTTTGGGGAACCCCGTCTCCCCCAAGGAGGTACCCCCTGGTTCAGCTTCACTTATTTCTTTATTTTGTTCCCATGACTCTTTTAAGACCTCTGCATTTTCTACAACAGTTTCGGAAAGTTCCATGGTAGCGGCAGAACTGGAACCTTCACGCAACACTAACTGTTCCTCTTTGGAATGATCTACAGGTGCCCCCCGTCCCAGCCTTTTACCTTGCGGTTTGCTCACGTCAGCGCAGGTTTCATCCTGGAGGCTCTGCGTCTGGGCTCGGCCCCTCTGGAAGGACTGCACGAATTCTGCAGCGTGTACAATAGGCACGAAAGGTTTGGCGTGGGCTTTGATTTGATGGCTAAAGGCCGAGATGAGCGGCTCGCGCGGATCCTCGGCTCCAGCCGCCAAGGAAGCTCTGTTCCCGCTCAGAGCCGAACCCGGGACTTCCAGGTCCACCTGGTCCCAGCACTCGGGTGCCGAGTCGCTGCTGCTGCTGCCAGGATCCATTGATCTGAGGAAGTATGGTCAGCTGACCAGAGAGGGCGGGCGAGACCGGCAGAGATAAGCCTGCCTGAGCTAGCGGCAGCTGCGCGAACCTCAGCAGCAGGGTAGGTGCAGCTAAGGGCACTGCGTTTGCAACTGCGGCGGCAGTAGCAGATATGGCGGCTCAATCCCCTCCTCTTGTGTGTAAGCGGATCTCCTCCCCGAAAAACCCCAACCACTTCCGACTCCTCCACGATGACCCAATGCCAGACGTGGGTTGACCCCTCACTGCCATACATAAGCTTGCCCCCATTTAGCTCTTAGAGGTAAATTTAAAAAATATAATGTTTTCCAACGAAAATTTCCATTCATTCTCCTGCCCCATCCTTCCAATCTGGGAAAGCAAATTGACTAAAGACAAAACCTAGAGGGCACACACCTGATGTAGGGTTCTCAAGCATTTAAACAAAAGTGGACATTTCTATTGAATAGATGAGACCAGGATAAGGGTAACTACTCAGAAACCTCGAAAATAAATAAGAAATCAGTTCATGAAATACACAAATTTAAGGTATGTGCTGAACTACAGTCATTAATTTGAAACCCAGAGGTCTTTGAATTTGTCCTTTTCATGAACCCTCATAAATTTCTAACTTTGGCTGATGTGTAAAGTTACAATGTCTTATCATGTTAAGTAATCTTGCTCTCAGGCTAAAAGAGATACAAAAGGATGGAGTCTTTGGAGGCCTTTCTGTTTGCCTGACTGCACAGTGTTTGAATAGTCTGGTAAAAAAGAATACAAATTTGGGGGTTAAAATATGAGAAAAATAGTTCTATACGTCAACATAATGACAAACCACTGCTCACTTACTCCTAGCAGTGTGTGCATAGTATTGTAATTGCTCAGAGCAATGGGGTGCATTCAAAGGGTTATCCAATTCCCCTATATGTAATTCAACACTTACATAGCAGCTGTATTCAAATAATCATGGATACAAATGTTTTGTAATCCCAGAATTTACAGGTTTCATAACATTCAAACTATTTCTTGTAGAGTTCACTTCACAACAACCTGGGAGAGCTAGGGCCTGATGTTTGAAATCAGAAAAGAAAAGTTTGGGGAAAAGGGAGCCGTGCACCAAAGGATCTTTCACCAAGGCCCAAGGAACCATTCCTCAAAATGTACACACATAATTGGAAAAAATCATGGGAATGAGGAGTCAGAGAAGATACTTGGTAAGTTACTGACAAAATCTTTTCATAAGAGTGCCAGTATGATGATAAATAAGAGTTGTGTTGGGAAAAGAGAGACTTTAAACTGGAAAATAGATGATAGCATAAAATAGCAAAGAGAAAAATAGAGTATGAAAATTAATTATAGTGTTAAATGAAATTTTAAGGCAAAATATATTCAAATCCATGAGCCAAGTTGAGGTCACCAGTGCCCCAAGTAGAATGATTCAATGAAGAAGAATAAGTCTTAATTTTTCTACCCCCAACTAGTAATAGTAGAACAATTTTAGTAATGCTTGAACACCAAAGTAGCAAAGAGGTCATGTCAGCTTACGACATTGATGGAGGGTTAGGCACAGTAATGCTATGTGATAATAAAGCAATCAAGTATGTTGTCAACACACTTTACTTAGGAATTTGACACACTTTCTGTAATTAGGTACTAAGCACTTGGTTTGTGCTCCTCCCTGGTAAGACAGATTCAGAATATGAGGCTCCACCTTATAGGGACAAACTGAGTATTGAGTAGAAGAATAAATGAACATTGATTGAAATATATCCACTGTGGCTAGGGCTATAAGTCAGCAGTAGAACATTTGACTATACATGTGTGCCCTAGGTTTTATGCCCAGCAGAGCAAAAAGAAATAAATGAATATATCATTGTGATTTGATGTTGGATTTACAGTGACTTGAAAAGAACAAAAAGACCACAGGGGTACCAATATAAAGTAATAGAAATAGAAAAGAAATAGAAAGGGGATAATAAACTTAATTCCAAGTTTTTTTTCCTTGTACTCATGAGTTTGTTTTCTGAGGTGATGACAGTTTCTCTTATGTTTCTTGCTGGGTAAGTTATGCCTAGAGAATGATGTTTTGTTCATTAGAGCAGAGAGGATTCAGCAGTTTTTAAGGAAAGAAAGTAGGGTTGCTGAGCTTCCCCTTGGTGAGTTTATCTTCTATCCAGATTCTTCTTTCCTGGGTTTCTACACACAAAAGTTCTTTGATGCCTTCATTCAAACTTTATCTCTGTGAGATAATAGGATAGCAACAAGCTGCTTCATTATAGCCAAAACTGTGCATGGAAATAATCTGACCTGATTTTTAAGTTTCTTTTTTTAATTTTCTTTTCTTTCTGTTTCCTTTGTTTTGGTGCTCACACCCAGAAGTTCTCAGGGGCTTCTCCCAACCCTCTACTCTGGGGTTGCTGCCAGGCAGTGATTTTAGGACAGTCTGGTTATGAGGATTGAACCTGGGCATGTCAAGGGCATAGCATATGCTCAGCCCTTTGAGATATTTCTTTGACCCAATTTCTAAAAAACAGATATTTTTGGCTCTAAAGGGTGTTCCAAAAAATATTTCTGTCACAAATTCGCCCTACTAGTGTTACAAAGTGTCTTACACTTAGTCACAAAGTGTCTTACGTTTTGTGGCTTATAGCACAGAATTTGGTGGAGAAATCTCTAGCAGACCATCAAGAATGAAGGTAGAACCCCTATGTTTGACATAACCAATCTGTTAGTCAAAGAAAAGCAATAGTAAAACAATATCAAACGTGTGCCTAGAGTAGTTTATTACAATTATGAATTCGATAGTCTGTAAAATTTAGTCAACAAATAATAAAAACAATTGAATTTGTGTTATTAATTTTGTTCTATTTATTTCATTATTTTATAAATATTTTATTTATTTTTAAAAATAAAGCTTCATAAAACTCAGAAAGCCACAGAAATATGTGTAAAATTGGTAAACATTATTTATGGCAAACAGCGGGATAGAAAGAGAAAGAAAATTTAGTCATTTGAAGACTGCTCACAAGTAGACATTAATGAAGTACAACTAGGGAGAGATTCAACTTTAATAAAAGTTGAGAGATTCAACTTTCATGACAGTTGAAAGTAGAACTACCACATGACTTAACAATTACACTTCTATGTGAGTTTTAAGCAAAGCATACAAAAATACTCACCCCAAAGGATTTATTATAGTAGCAGTATTGATAATAGCAGATGTACAGGACAACCTATGTGTCCAGTAAGAGATTAATGTTGGACCTGATTGATAGTATAGCAGTAGCGTGCTTGTCTTGCATGTGCCTGACCTGGGTTTGATGTTCAGTATCCCATATAGTCCCCTTAGCATGGCAAGGAGTGATGCCTCAGCATATAGCCAAAAATTAATCCCTGAACTCCACTGAGCGTGACCTCAAAGCAAACAAAAGAAGAAATCAATGGATATTGATGATGACAATTACATCTATATCACACTTACATGGAGTGGAATATTACTAAGTCATAGAAAATATATCACTATTTGTGGTAATATTGAAGATCCCTGAGGGTATTATGGCAAGTGTGATAAGGTCAGCTATAGAAATAGAAATATAATATGATTTTATTTCTATGTGGAACACAAAATACGAAGTAGGGGGCATATATATATACATATATATATAGTAGCATTGTTCTCCCGTTGTTCATTGATTTGCTCGAGCGGTCCCAGTAACGGCTCCATTTTGAGACTCGTTATTGTGTTTGGCATATTGTGTACATCAAGGATAGCGTGCCAGGCTTTGCCGTGCGAGCGAGATATTCTCGGTAGTTTGCTGGGCTCTCCAAGAGGGGCAGAGGAATCAAACCCGGCTCAGCAGGGCTGGCTGCATGCAAGGCAAACGCCCTACCGCTGTGCTATCACTCCAGCCCATATATATAGTACAGGAGTTAAATTGCATGTATTGCATGAGTCACACCTAGATTCAAACCCCAGCATCATAGGGCTCCTTTGAGTAATGACAGTTGTGGTCATGGTGGCTCTTGAGCACATTGGTGCTCCTACTAATTCCCAGCACTTCAGACTCTGAACAGCACCACATTCTATGGCCCTATTATTGAACTTAATCACTGAACTGAATTCACTGCCAAGGAATCTCCATAAAGGAAACCTAACCTGCAGAACACTGCTTGAGAGGAAACCTTCCCCCAAAATAAATGAAATAAAAATTGCAGTCCAGAGTACAAATTGTGGTTACAAGAGGGAGACAAAATGAGAAGTGGATTAAAAGGTGAAAGATGAACATGTACAGACTTTGACTTTGGACATAAACGAGTCACTGGGATGTCACCTACAGAATAGGCACTATAATAAGTGCAGATCATAATCTACCTAAGTGCATGCCATTTTCTGCCCCTATGGACATGTTTACCAACAATGCATCAGAAACCATGCAGAAGCCAGAACACTGAAATTCAGCAATGCGCCACAGTCTTATTAATTAAGTGCCATTGGAACTACAACCCAGGAAAGTAAACGAAAAGCAACTGGCTACAAGTTAAAATAGGGCATCTCCTTATGAAGGATCAAGAGTCTTTTTACATAATATTCAACATATGCAGGGCACTCTGGGAAAAAGCCTCAGACTCAGAACCAGATAAAGCACTTTTTGAATAAGTCAGTTGAGATGAATCATGTATTGAGACACTCTCCCACATTTTAAATTGTCACTATAATATTACTTAAAGAATAATTATGGATTACCATGGAATAAGTAAAGTTTTATCTATCTATATGATAATTAGAAATTGCAAAGCTCATAAATCTTTATAACCCAAACATAAGAAAACAAATTCATAGACAAATGCATATGAAAGAAAGTTAAAAATCTGTGAAATTGAGTAGAGTTTATCAGGATATATGCATATGGAAAAAGTAGAAGTCAAGCAAATAGGGACTGGCCACTTGCCAGTTGCCTTGCATATGGCCAATCAGGTTTGATCCCCAGCACTCCATAGGGTA